AAGATGAGAAGAAATTCAATTGTGTTCGTCAAGAGCTCATTACAATTGGCACTGGCTGCAAATAGTGATGTTAATTATTCGAAAATGGGGTAGGAGAGATAATAAAAATACCCTTGTCTGATCCAATTCGTAGGAAGCAAAGAAAAGAGTCATTGAATGTTTCATTAATTTTGTAGATATGAGTTTCATTCTGTCAATCATTTTGGTGCTTTAATTATACTGTTTTCAATCATGAGCGTTAATATGAGTAGAAACTGAATGCAAACAGAATATAAATTAGACTTACTTCTTTTTTAATCAACGTGCGAATAGAGAAGAATGCTGTCCAAGTTGCCTATAAACTACCCGCCTCTGCTGTCTTTTCAAAACAATAAAAATCATCATTTTTTTGTAGTGAAGAGGGTATTGATTAAGCATCAATTTAGCTATCCGAAGATGCTACAAATAGTTGATTTTCATTGGAGTTCAAAGAGTTAATTTCCATGAATCTTCGCTCGAAAAAGCAAAAAATTTAAGGTGATTTCTGACGCTGCAAATTTTTTAGTACTGCTCGAATCACCATGGCTAGAATGGGTTGTTTAGAATCTAACAACGTCATCTGGCTGTTTGCGTGAAAAAGCACATCCAATTTTTGAATTCAGACTCAGCAAATTTTCTTGGCCAAGCTTTACTAATTGTAATTGACCGCTGTGAAGAGTTAAATCACTATCTCTTCTTCAAATTGTCTTCTTCAAATCTTTCTTCTCAAGTTAATTGAATGCCTAGTTTAACAAAATCACCTAAATTATTTGAGGCAGCAGTTGGCATATCTGTTCTGATTACACTTGCGAAGCGAGTACGAACCTTCTTTTTTGCAACCTAAGTCGCAAATATTGGTAACTTTTTTGGGGCAACTTTACAGGTTTTTCATAGCATGTGCTTTGACATTCGAATAGTAATAAGTTGAGACATTTGATGCATGTTTAGTTCATCAAATGGACCGATAAGAGTGATTTGTTTCAAACAACACAACAAATGAAAGTCGATTTCAGAAATTTTTAAACTCAATATTGCAATTTTTTGAAATGCATTATTTAAACACGTTTGCGATTTGTTTCATGCAAAGTTAGTGTGGATTCCTTCAGTTTGCTATATTCAAATTATTACTTGAAGTAAATTTGAGTCTTTGAAGCCATTTTTGCTGAATCGCATTGCCGAAATGAAGCTGCTTTATTCGTGATTAGTGTTGTCGGCTCTTAAGCTTGCGTGTCTGAGTGGATAGTGCGTGAGACTCGAAATCTCTTGATTGCAGTAGGACGCACATTCGAATCCTACTCGTTGCCGAGTTTTTGCTAATTCGAGGCGTATTTCTACTTTTTCTTAGTTCAAAAGATAGCTGCTTTTTGGTCGTGTTCTCGCAAGTTTTTGCGAAGCGCAGCTCCGCCTCTGCTTAAAGTTTGGCCAACAGAATTTTTTTGGGAATATATGCATTTTAAATTGACGTTCTCTTCGATCTGTTTTGGTTGTAAATTATCAATTTTTTGTTTCTTTCAGTTTATTTTCGTGTTTTTCAAATAACTTGGTAATATCTAGGGGGAGGGGGGTGCGTAAAACTGGGTGTTATCGAAATTTTTATAGTTCTTGGTTTGCTTTTTTGTTCGGCTCAATGTTTGTCTACCCAAGTAGTGTCTGCTCAATTACTGCTTGCTAAATTTTGTTTTTCAATACTAATTTAACACTGGCAATTGTATCATTCCTGAAATTGAACCGCATTTGCGCTTTTTCCAGTTTCCCACCCCCCTCGATAAATTTAAAAATGAAACAGTTCACAAATTGTTAACACGGCATTTTGCATATGGGAAATGTTGTCAAATTTTGTTTACCCGTTCACGATGACAGGTTTTATTGCAGTTTATAATTTGAAAAGTCATTTTAAATGCCTGTTTGATAAAAACAGGTATTATGAAAATGTATGGGATCGTTTTTTTTTTGTTTTTTTTTAAGAGACGCTTCGGAAAAATTATTCACCTTTTTCAAAAATTTAGTGTTTCTCAAAGACTACTGTACCGCCTTGCAAAATTTGGTAACTTCAACTCACCTGTGTGCTTGCATAATCCCCTCTCTTTTTACCTTACCTCACTTTCTACAGCCTTCGAAAAAGTCTGACCCAAGTTTTTGGGTTATTTACATTTTCTCGAAAACTACCCTGCCAAATATGAGATTTTGATTTGAATGGGTAGAATGGGTTGTGGGAAGCCCCACTGCATAAACAGTTACATCCAAATTTTCCCACACATGAAGTTATGACCCTCGGAAAGGTCAAATTTTCGAATTTTTGACCGTTTTTTGAAACCTACCTTTTCTCAAAACTACCCTCCCAAATCTGAAATTTTGGTTTAAATGGAGATCCTAAATTCATTAGAATTAAATAGTCTTTGGTCTAGATTCTTACTTTGGTTAATATATATCATATTACGTGAAGTGCTTCGAACCATGAAATATTGATGGTGAAAACGGAACTGAAAAAGATAGAAGGTAGAAAAGGCGTCGAAATGTCACAAAAAGTAATACCTCTCGGTAAAAAATTTATTTTTTGACCGTTTTTTGAAGTTTTTTGATTTTCTCGAAGGTTATGATGCCAAATCGACCTCAAAAAAAATTCACTCCCAATTATTTTATAAGAGAACCAACTAAGCCCAGTGAAGTCCAGTTTTTGAATTAACCTTTGCCCTTCCACTTCAGTACAAAAAAATTATTAAATAGGTATTTCCAGCTATAGCTGGCCTCTAGTAGATTTTGTTCGAATGAGAGAAAAAATCAAATGGGGGAACTGTAAAAGAGACCGCAGTCGAAGCAAACGTAAATGATTTGTTCGATGTTTTTTTTTCGACTCAATGGCTTTCGTCGTATTTTTAAGGGTTGTATCGAAAGTGGTGCGAAGTCTCACTTCGCCTTTATGTGCGAAATCAGTCTGTAAAGCGTATTTGGTTTTCGAAAACTTTCTCGATTAACTTGAGTCAGGTAAAGTATAAAGGCTTGAATCATGATGATACCTTACTCGACATTTTCTGACATTCATTTCGATTAATTTGTTTGCCAAAAGAAAAAGCAAAACTTCCTTCTTCCATCAGTGATCGGAAAAGTCACAGCGCAAGTAGCACAAAATTTTACCGAAATTGTTGCAGTTTGCAATATGTGGAATGTCAGATTTTGCTTTAAGAATTAGTCACTGAGATTGAAGACCCTTCTACATTTGCATCAGTCTACCTCGCAATATTCTAATCAGAATATATCACGTTTTTGTTGCGGTATGAGAAAAGATTTTTAACATGTTTGTCTTGTTCGAGTTAGGTTTAACAAGATTAAAAGACGATGTCGAACTCGAATATTACACAGCAAACGCTCGTATTATACTAGAGCTTACTTTTCTTAACGTAAGTCTCACGTGTTAGTATTCATTTTTTGTTGGTTTTCTTCACAGTATAGGCATAATCCCGGGCTAAATTTCATTTGATGCTGAGGATATTAATAACCCTTACAAAAATTTCCTTCGTCTGATTCATATTGATATTCTGAATACGATAGCAAAAACATATTTCACGTGTGAGCTTTTTTTGGCAGAAGTATGGATTTAAACAGCTTGTCTACCGCCAGTTCTGATGTACTGCCCTGAAACCTGGGCGCATACCAGGTAGTTTCCAGCTCTCAAGAGTGCTGATATGAACGCTCTGCGTAAGATAACAGGAGTGACTTATAAAAACATTTACCAACGAAGCAGTAATTAAAATAACAGGTCTTGTGTATGCAGTAATTAAAATAACAGGTCATGTTCACCGAAGAAAAAATGATCATGCACTAAAATCAACAGACCATTTTTCAGTCCCTGGGAAAAGACTAACAGGAAGGCCTTAAAAACGCTGGATCGATTGTGTTAAACGAGACCTGAATACTTTAGGCCTCAAATCCACCGACTGACTTAATCGAATGGCATGGAAAAACGTGTTATCCTCCATTAAATAGCTTGAATGCTTCTCAGAATGCCCTCATCTGATTCATTCCTGACCTACTTTCCGAATGTTCAACCTCGCCACAATGGGAAAACGGACAAAAAACGCATTAGTCGTAGTAGTTTAGTTGTATATGGGTTTAAACACCATTTCAGGGTAATTCATGTGGACTTATTGCCTGCTTTCTAACGCGTAGAGGCGCATAAATTAAGCCAGGGGAAATAATAAACAAAAGCTTTAATAGCATAAATCTCGTTGCAATAATTGATTGAAATGATTTTGTGCCTAGTCAAAGTTATGATAAGTTTGTTGCATTTTTACGCAAAAGGCAGTAAAGCTTGCTCGCAATCATGAGATTGTAGGTTTGCAAGCATAAGGTTGTCGGTTCGCAATTCACATGTGCGCTACCGTTTGCAAGGCTAGCTTGTGGATTAAAAGACTATCGAACAATAAAAATGTAATGGTCACGAAAAAGTGATCGATTTCTATTTTCGAAAGAGGAATTTAATTTTCAAATTTTGCAGCGATATAAAAGTTTTACCTATTGATCTAGCTTTCTCAAATTGGGTTAATTTTATCAAAAAAAATGGTTCAAAAAAGATTTTTTCTTTCAAATTCGCGGTCAAGTTGAAGTCAAGCTTTTTTCCTTGCGGTCAAGTTTTTTTCCTTGCGTTCATTACATTTCAACTCTGTTGGCTATGTTTTGTTATTTAGTTTCGCTTGGCCAGAACAGTTTGTGTATTTGGGCAGCAAATTTGTTCTAGTGTGCTTTTTATGAGTTTAATGGCCTACCCCTTTTTGCAATATGAGGATGCAAATTTTTGCACCTATCAATCGTTTTCAATATCAAAGCTGTTCGACCAATTGTCGATTTTGGCGAATTGTCGGCTTGCTGAAAATTTGCAATTGTAAATGCACTACCTGTTCTAATATAGCCCCAAGCAGTGTCAAAAGAGATATTTATTTTGCCGTGAAGTGATGTGGTTCAGGTGTAGATCATTTCCTTTCAGATGAAGTTATTCGTGTAGCAATTTTCATATGCCAGTTTTCAATCCGACTGAAGATGCTGAAGAGTTGGACTGTCTTCCCGGCATAGAAGAAGGTTCCCAAAGTGGAGGTCTCATTTTGAAGAAACCCAAATTGAAACAGAATTCTCTTTTTGCTGCTGAAGACAAAGAAAAAGAGGAGCATAAGTTTAAAGTTCCAGAATTGCCGCCTCCTAAGTCGCTTCTGGGCTTGGATGTTTTGGCAGCTCAGAAGCGGAAGGCAGACGCCGAGAAGAGCTCCGAGTCGTCCGAAAAGGTCTACAGAAGACACGAGAGTCCCGCTCCCGATACTCCTTCGTTTCCATCAGACAAGTCGCGTGAATACAGAACAGACCACTCCGCGAAGGAACAAAAACGTGGCCTGGCATCGTCAAGTTCAAAACATCGTGATGAGCGCCGTCGCCGTAAACATTCTAGTTCGAATTCAAAAGACCGCCATAAAGACAGTTCCAGAAAAGAACATAGGTCTGGAAACGAATCGAGGGATCCTTATGCATCACCGTGGGAATCCAATCAAGGATCTGAGACACCAGTATACCATTCGTCCTCCAGGGGAGATGGTAGCTCAAGTCGGAGACATCGCGGCAACAGCTCTAGGAGTTGGGATGACGATGATGACAGTGGTTATGGTTCCAAGAAAAGATCTTCTTGGGACACCCCGTCACCCACTTCGTCCTCGGTTCACTGGGATACTAGGCAGAAAAGCACTTCTAGAGTAAGCTCGCGGCATAAGTATCCAGATGAAACACCAATGCCTACGCCAACGTATAAGTACAACCCTTGGGCGAAGAATCACAATGGACGGCAGAATGGAAATGAAAGTGGGCGGAGTTCGAGACATCACGTGGGGGATACTCCGGCGGCAAATGAGGACCCAGAGCTGCGCCAGGAATGGGAACAGGAGCAGAAACGGTTTGTGTACTTTTTGAAATAATTACTTGGCACCAGAGGCTGATCTAGGATTTTCTAGAAGAGATGCGGTTTTTTAAGGTCGACCAAATTTCAAACTTTTTTAACATTGAACGAAAATGTTTTTTTTTTGTATTTCTCGTGAAACGCCAGAAAGACCAAAATGTCAGACATTTCTGTGCTGCAACGTCGTTTTTTTCTGGCAATCAAAAATCTTCGTTTTAATAATCCCCGTTCTTTTCGCAATGGATGTCGTTTAATAGTAACAGATGGTCTTTTTGGGTGGTGAGGATGTGGAATTCAAGAGAGGAAAGGCCGTCCGCTTGCCCTACCCCTTTAATTATCCTCTGCGTGACCTACAAGTTGTGTGAAAATCGGTAGAATTGTGACTAGTGTAAAGATGTTAGGAAATCCACCTAGCTGTGATTTTTTTAAACGGTCTCTCCCCACCTAGCTGTATTTTTTCAAACCAATATAAGCTCAAGGTAAAACAAATCGTCATTTTTTCTTTTTTCTTTTTATTTTGTTTGTCAATTTACTAGCTCCAACTTCTCATAATTTTAATTTTTTCTTTTGTTTTATTTGGCTTAAATTGTTTCGTCGTATAATATAGAAAAGAGAAAAAACGAAATAGGCTTAATTCACAGATGGAAAAATAACTAAACAACAACGAATATTTACATCTACTGGCTAAACAACAAAAAACGAAAAATTATAAGTTGAGTACGCGCAGAAATTTGTTCTGAATTAAGTAAACAAAATAAAAGAGAAAGAGAGAAAGACATTTATTTCTCTGATTCAAAAATATACACATGAGAGTTTTATACATTTACAATATCATTGACCAGAGGGGACACTAAATGGACCTTTTGGTCGCTGGGTAGTGTCCTAAAGTTTCTAACCACTATGTATAATTGTAGCATAGACAACCACATTAATTAATACATGTGAAATTGCTTCATAGTTATGATTTAAAGCTTTCGTAGGTTATGGAGTCTTTTTAGGCAGTCACTCAGAACCATTAAAACCCCATAACAAATGATTATTTCCCAGCCCAACAGCCGCGAAAGACCCATCAAATAGACATGTTTATGCAACCTTTTTTCAATACAGTTTATAAACAGTACGGTTAGAAAGTTCGTATTTTAAAATTACGCATTAACTTCAGCACAAATTACGAATTAACTTCAGGTTGATCATATTATCATTTCAAGTTGTGATGTTCAAGTTGTCGCTAACCCAAATCCTTCAAATCAGGTTATCCGAAATGAACACAAATGAATGCAGATCAACTGACCATTTTGTTAAGTTCTTGTCAAACATATCAAATGGTAAGTTCTAAGAGCGACAACTTCGGCAGTAGCGGTTTAGTTGCCTCGTATTGCGTCGTTTGATGAGTGAAAGAAATTTTTATACTCAAAAGTGTTTTGAGGGGGTTGAATTTTAAGTTCTTAAATGAAAATATATTTTTTTACTCAATGAGTTTCAGTCTGCTCAAATCAGGTCGGCTTTGTTACTGATTCGTTTGTTTTGATCAGATGCTAAATTAAGCGTGAAAATTGTCGAACCTAGATTTTAATCAACTTGAAACATAAAACTGGGACGTTTGTGAATTTTTTGATAGATCTTGTTTTTTGTTCCATTTTGTTAAATTTTGTTCTCTTTTCTGTCGGCTAGCTTTTCATGTAATATTTGCGTTGCTTCGTAGGTGGTAACTCGAAGTATTGCTTATTTGGTTACTTTTAGTACTGAAAAATTAATTTATATTTCTATGATCTTTTTAGACTGGACAGGGAGTGGTACAACATGGAGGACGGGGGAGGCCACGATGAGGACTACAACCCCTTCTCCTCCATCCCCGAGGAGTATGTGCAGAAGAAGGAGGAGACGCTGAACAGAGGCAGTGCAAAGAAGATATCTGCCAGGTAAAAGATAACATAAACGATCACAAAATCGAGCAAACAACTTGGTTGTTCAGGTGCAAATTCAGATACCATAAACCAACCTCTAATGAGGCCGCCGCGTAAGATATCATTTTAAATTCTTAGTTTTAATTTGAGCAGCCAATGTGTTCTGTTTGCTCAAATAACGTAAGTTTGAGCAAACTAAATTTTCTTCTTTTTTAGACTCCAACAAAAGAATAAAGACATTGAAAAGTGGGAGCTGAACAGAATCATGCACAGCGGTGTAGTCCAGAAGTTATCACAAGAAGACGAAGACTACGACGAGTCCAGCGAGGCCAAAATACATCTTCTGGTCCAGAATGTAGTGCCACCCTTTCTAGACGGCCGTCTGGTGTTCTCCAGGCAACCAGAACCAGTGTTGCCAGTGAAAGACGGAACCTCTGATATGGCCCAGATTTGTCGACAGGGAAGTGCTGTTGTAAGACATCACAGGGACCAGAAAGAGAAAAAGAAGGCGCAAGATAAGCATTGGGACTTAGCTGGGACTAATTTGGGGGATATTATGGGCATGAAGAAAGATGACGACAAAGAAGAGTTAAGAGGTAGGTTCGAATCCTTTTCTATTTTTCAGTGTTGACGAACTAAACCCCCGTAGTTGTTCCAACGGCTGAACGTGGGTGGAAACTTTTGTATTCGGGTATTTTACTTATTGTTTTTGCTTTTCCACGCATAATTGGGTACCAAAAATAGTTATCATAACGGGTCAAGTGATATATCACATAAAAGCCCCTTCAGTGTCGCGAAAAACGCATTCAAATAGTATGGAAAAAAATTTTTGAAATTTTTTATGATTGTTTTCTTATTCATTTTTTGAAAACAACTGAAGTCGATTAAGCCCAATTCAAGCTTTCTTCTTGTTCCACTCCTCAAACAACTTAAAACAGCGACTGGCAATTTGTCGTTAAGTAAATAGAGCATTGAAACGTTAAAAGTTGTCACGGTCAGAATAGTCATGTTTAAGTGTGAAAGAGCTACGTGATTTTCACTTATATAGGTCGTGATGATTTTTTAAATATTTTTCGCGGTTTGACTGTTGACTATTTGTTAAGTTTCAGTTCATTTCTTTTTAAAAGGAAGGCAAACTCCGCTATTGAGCAGCTAAAGTGTAATTGTCACGAAAAGCGTGAATAACTCCCATTTTCAAAAATGGGCTTCAATTTTCTGAATTTCCATCTGAATAAAAAATACCTGTGAATCACTTGTCTCTTCCTGGGAAAAAGTACCAATCGTAAACAATTCTTCAAATTCAAAGAGCTTTAACTTGGTATAGTTTTTCAAAAATTGAAAAATGTTCAAACCTTTCTGGTTTTCATTTCTGATTTTTTTTTCTGTTTCTTTGTTCTTTCACGCTTCTGAGTTATATGTGAGGTGGTTAACTCATAGAGTAATTTCGGATAGGGTACACCGTCTGCTCGTCACGCTATCTTATTTTCGGCCGGATAGATTCGTGCAACTTCTTAGTCTAATACCGATCCTAAACTTACTCTTATACTATCTAGTCTCAGGTTGTTTAACTAGTCTCTGCTAGGCTCAATAGATCTAGGGTATACTGGTTTATTGCGGCTGCTGAAGTTCGCTTGGAGAGTCAACTAATTTCTAAGTTAAATTCAAAGCTCTCTGGTGCTGAAATTACAAGTAATTTCAGCACTTACAAATAAGTGGGTTGTTAGTTAGATGGATCATGATTGGTTAATATTAAATACTTTACAATGGTAAAATATCTAATTTATCCAATCATAAAATGTAGTTTAGATCAGGTTCCACCCATCCGGGTTTTACAGAGTTTTTTAGAATAGTCTTTCTGTAATTCAAAGGATGGATGATGGACGTTGGTATTTGGCGAACATCATAATTCTTCTGGGTTTTCGTGTTAGAGAAGTTCCAGGTTCAATCGCTGTGTCTTCTCATGACAACGACTGGGTTTTCGCAACAAACTCAAATCTGATTTCAGAATGGTTGGCTATGTCAGGTTTTTCTGTTCCATGTAGAGAACTTCTTTTGGGTTGACCTTGTCTGGGAATGGCGTGGAGATTGTGCGTGGAGGGGATGCCTGGTTACTCGGATCTGTACGTATACTTGAACATCGAGGTGGTCATTGTTCTAGTTCAATGAAGTCCTTTTCTGCGAAGTCAAGTCGTACTCTAAATCCTTTGAGTTGTGATTGTGGGCGGCATATTGATTGTGGTTGGCCATTCTTTTTCGAGTGTAGTGGGGTGATTTTGTCTTTGGATGTTCGTCTTTGGTGTTGTATGCTGATCTATATACTGCAATGTATAATTTACATTTTATAAAATTTTTATTAGTTTGATGTTTTAATTATGATTTTGGTTAGTTGTTTTCACAAAAGCTTTTTGTTTTAGTTCAGTTATTTTGAAGAGTTACTCACCCTTGAGTACCTCTTATTAAAAATAGAAGTGTGGTCACAAAGCGTGGATGTAGCGCGGTGGGTTAGGCCGGCTATAGAGCATGCTCAGGACGTCCTCTCTGGTGGGTTAGGCCAGGAGTGGGAGTATGATTTCGTGCGGTTTCTGTGAGGGGTCCTGTTGTGTGATAACGTTTTATGTTGGGTTTATTGTGGTTTTTCTTATGTTTCGTTGGTTGTGTCCTTTTTTCAAAAATCAAATTGTTTTTGGTATGGGTTTGTCTTTCGACTTTTTTGTGTTTTATTATTTCTTTCTTAGACTTTATAATAGTCTTCAAAAGAATAAATTATCCAGTTTTAAACTGGGTTAATCCGGTTTGGGTACCGTTGGTTTCCTTTTCTTAGTCATGCTGTTATTCTATGTGTTGTGGTGTTTAGTAAGCTGCGTTGGTTAGTTTTGTTTAGTATATAATTCCTTTCCAACCGGGTTAAAGGAAAGTTTGAAACTTGTTATCGTGTGTTAGAGTTGTTGAGTGTGAAAGCTTGAAACTGAAATTCATTATTTAAACAATTCTTCGTGGGCGAGCTGTGCGAGTATGGATAGAATTCTTGTGCGAGTGAATGGAAATATCAAAAGTTTAGTACTGCATGTTCGTCTTATCAATTTACTACAATTTCAAGTTTACTTCAACTAGAATTTCAATTTTACTGCTAGTTTTGGGGAAAAATTAAGTTATAAATTTTCATCATTATTAGAATTACTGCTTTTAGGGAAATAATTTATAAATTAAATTACTACATTGGTATGAACTTTATTTAATTTAGCTGGTGCAAAAGAGTATTAGAGTTTTGAACAATTTGAAGAAGTTTTCTATTTTTTATTTTTCTTTTGTGTATTTTGCAGATGATCGTGAGATGAAGACTAAAAATCAAAATGAGACATGGATAAAGAATGGTTAGTTTTTTAATTTGAATTTATTAGTTAAGAATATGATAAATTATACTTACCTGTTAGTCGTCGGGGAAAAAACCGTGGGGGAAGATGTCGTGGATTATGTCGGAATTTGTTAGTAACTTTGCTAGTATGCGAATGATGTTTTTAGTTTGAAGCAGTGGCCAAAGCAATTGAAGTGCTTTAATGGTTTTTAGTTCTTCAGTGCCTACTGCAAAATCATAAGGTGTGTTTTGGATGAGATTATATAATTTGTGGTTATATTTAGTGTTGTGGATGAATTCTAATATGGGGATTTCTATAGGTTGAACAAATTCATGTGGGATAAGGAAGGGTCTGGATTCTTCTGCGTTGAAGGTCTTTGTGATGGGACAAAAAATATACATTTGGGTTATGGGATCATAATTGCGAAGAATACCGTGAAGGTTAGTATCTTTGATGCAATATGTGAAGTTAAGAAAAAATGGTGATGTGTACTTAGAGTTAATAAATTGAAAACGGTGGTGTGGTTGTCTTGATGGAGTGTGTAGATCAAAGTGATTTTGTATGAAGCGATAATATGTATATGTGTGGGTTTGTTTAGTGCGTAACATAATATCGTGTGAGCAGTGCAAATCTCGTTCATGTGGTGCAAGGAAATGAAAGGTTAGTGAAAATAATTGAAATTTTTCTTTAAAACTTTCGTAAGCTTGTGTGTCGGTTAGAGCTTCAGAAATGATGTGGTCGAATTTGCGATCAAATATATTGAGTGTAAATACATATGGTGTTTTGATGAAAAATTTTTCTGTGATTTGTGGGTTAGCGAAACGGTCATCATCTAAAAATTGGTCTTGGTTAGTTCGGATGATGTTGTGATCGTAATATTCTAGCGTGTATTCGTTAGCTCGGGGTGCAGTGTATGTTTTTAGTGACTTTTTATATCCTATATAAGTAAATTGTCTATGTGTTAATGGTGTGGTGAGTCGATATAGCATATCTTTATGTCTTTCTATATCGATGTGAGTATTAGATAAAGGTAGGCAAAGGGGGTTAGTAAAATGATAATATGATGTCCATTGAAGTGTAGGCATTAAAACGTGTTCATCTACAAAACTGCGTGTGTTGTTAGTGTCGTTAGGGGTGTTCAAAGTATACTGTGGAAATGAAGGTAGGGTGATGGCTAAAAAATCTTTCGTGTTAGTGTGATTTGGATGATTAATATATTCACGGGCTGTTCCTGGTTTTGTTGGAAATGGATGGTTCGGGAATTTTCTTTTAAAAGTGCGATAAGCTCTATTAGTGCTATTTGATGATTCGGTGGATGTGGAGGATGGTGCTAATGATGCGGTATAAGCTGAAGAGGGTGTAGGGGTAGGTGGGTTTGATGATTCTATTGTGGATGAAATCTGATTTATAGTGGAATGTTCAAGGTGGAAGGGTTGTTGTTGTAGGGTGATAAAATTATCTAGTTCCTGGGAGATTTGGGGAGTATCTGGAGAATTGGATGATCGGTCTGAATGAAATGAAGAGTAGGTTGGGGTGACTTGTGAAGCATAAGAGGGTGTAGAAATCGATGGGAGTGGGTTATTTGGCGGGATTGGTTGAAAAGGGGGTTTTGAAAAAACTGAGGAGTTGGTTTGAAAATTAGTGGATGGAGATGGTTCAGAGTCTGCAAATTCATCAGGGGTTTCAATATCTGGGTTATTGAGTTGTGAGATGGAGTATAAAACTGAGATATGTGAATTAGTGTCTGAATTCATGCCTGATGTTATATTACTGGTTGGGAAATCGGGTGGCGGGAAAGCAAAAAGTGGAATTATTGTAATTGGAGTGTTGAGGTTGGTCGGGTGGGAATTTGAGCGGTGTAGGGATCCAAGTTGTCGGCTCATAGTGGGCTAAAAAAATTATTATTTTGAGACTGAAAAGCGGTGGTATGGGGTTGTTCTATAATTTGTTCATATGTATTTTCATCCAGTGGATTGTGTGTCATTATATGTTGAATGGGACTTTGTGATATGGTTGGTCTAAAATTTGGATTATGTGTTATTGCTAAATTTCGAAAATTTCGTGGGACTAGTGATAGTGGATGGTTATGTGGTAGGGGTGGTAACTGTGGTGCTGTAGGCGTTATGTCTACATTGTTATGTTCTTCGTCGTATGTGTTCTGTCTTGTTGCTATTTTTGTGTTGTATTCTTTTATTTGTGCGTCTAAAAGAATTTTGTTTATTGATGATGAAAAAATTCCAAAA